GTAGTTTTGAACTGCTAACCTTAAGGTTCACAGCCCACTTCGTAACCACTACGCTACAGGAGCAGAAAACCTCATCTTTCTCTCGTGGAGGCAGGTAGTTTCAAACTGCTGACCTTGAGGTTAGCAGCCCAACTCGTACCCTCTATGCTACCAGAGTGCCTTACTTAGTAAGGCTCAAACTAGAAAGGAGCTGCTTAGTGAAAAACAAGTAAAATAGAAAAAACAGAAGTGTCATAAGGTAGTGGTGAGTGTGGTTGACCTTACAGTCAGGAGCAGAGGACCCTGGGACCATCAAGGGAGAAGAGCAGGAGCGGAATGTGTGACCCTACCCAGAGAAGTGGTGACAGAGATGGAGGCAGAGATGATGATGTGGAGAGACAGAACAGCTGAGGACTCATGGAGGGAGAGGGGCTGTGTGCTGGCTGCCGCGAGATAGGCTTGCAGGGTGTGCCCTTTGGTTGTTTGATGATGTTTCCTGATTGTTTGGGTGTACAGCCTGAGTGTTTGGGTGTACATCCAAATAAAAAAAACAGAGGGAATAGAAGCAAATACATCATTATGCATGGAGGGGATTGTAATCATTTTAATGAAATGAAATATGATAGGATGAGTATAAAACTGATGTCCTCCCATGTAAACTATCATTCAATTCACAACATCCTTAAAAAACAATGGTGGTGGTGATTTAGGTGGGGGGTGGTATGTCCAGGACAAAGAATATTCCAAGTCCATCTTTTCTTCCCCAAATCCCTTGTTGTTGTTAAGTGTTGTTGAGTTGGTTCCAACCCATAGCAACCCTATATAAGGTTTCCAAAGAGCAGCTTGAACCACCTACCTTGTGGTTCAAACCAACTTTGCAATCCAGCGCATTAACCCACAGTGCCACACCAGGACTTCACCAATCCCTTGGGTCTCCTTAAACTGTTGACTATAATGACACACTAGGGATCCTGGTATGGAACTAACTGTAGGATAAGCACTGGATTGATAGCCACAAAGTCAGTGGCTCATCTCCTTGGAAACCCTATATAGGGTTGCTGTGAGTGGGAACCGACTCAAGGTCACTTAACAACAACAATCAGACTCATTTTAGTGTTACCTCTATCACTCATATTAATGATTTTCAATATAAGTTATAAAACTCTTTTCAACAAGTATCAAAAATGGCTTCCAGATTTCTTACATTTGTGCTGAAAACTCTTCCTCCAGAGACGTATGATCAAGAATGAACTCTGCCAAGTCAGACCCATTCCTCCTGCGGTAGCAAAGCGCACCTCACAGTTAATTAAGGGTGATCCCAGTTTCCAGGATGCTGGAGCTTTGTCTAGCTTCTGGTGAATGTGGCAGAAGAACAAGCCATGCGCTCATCTTTAGAGGCCTCCCCTCTCCACTAAGGATCTGTCCAAATTGGTTACAGCCTGCCCCAGGGTTCAGGACACTACTTTCTACTGCACTGCTTCGCAAACTTTAAAGCCCATTTTGTTTCAAAGGCAGATTCTGATTCCGGAAGTCTGAGGCGGGACCTGGGATTCTAGCATGTTCCCAGGGGATGCTCAGAATGCTGGTCTCCAAACCACACTTGGAGTAGCAAGGAGTCAACCACAAATTCACAAACCAAGGGACACATAAGCTTCCTCCATTCTTGGGTTCAGAAGCAAACTGGGGATAGCAATTGACAATGGATGATGTCTTCAAGAAGCTAGTAAATTTAAAAAAATCATAAAAAACAAACAAACAAGTAAACAGGTTTACTGGACAGAAAGAGACTGCTGGAATACCGATGCTATAGCCTTTGGTCAGTTTCCAGGTCTGAAATTGCACTCTCCCCTGTGGTTCAATTTTTAGTTAAGCAGTAGATAGGTATATGTTGTTGTTAGGTGCCATTGAGTTGGTACTGACTTATAGCAATCTTATGCGCAGCAGAGCGAAACACTGCCTGATCCTGGGCCAACCTCACTACTGTTGCCACGCTTGAGTCCATCGATGCTGTCACTTGACCAATCCATTTCGCTGGAGGTCTTCCTCTTTTTCTCTGACCCTCCACCTTACCAAACATGTTATCCTTCTCCAGAGACTGGTCCCTCCTGACAATATGTCGGAAATATGAGAGACGAGGTTTGGCCATCTTGGCCTCCAAGGAGCACCCTAAAGTGTGGGCAAAATCACTAGTGAGGTATGCTCAACTTAGAATGGTCAAGGATTCAAGATCAAGAAAGCGATATTTACTTAATTAGGACAATATTCAACAGGGTTGGGAAAGAAGGCAGAATGAAAAGAAGACACAGGGAGGAGGTGGGATAACTGACGTTACCAGGAGAGGCCTGCGGTCACTGAGATGAAGCAAAGTGTACGATCTGTTGAATGTAAAATGGATGATCTGCTGTGTAAACCTTCACTCAACTAACACTGAAAATTTGTTGTTGTGTTTTAATGAGTGAATTAAGGAAATACTATAAGACCAATGGAGCACACACAGAACTCTTGACAGAAAGCAAGCAACGGAAATCTAAAAACAAAATGCCTAAACTTTTAATATTCACCAGGGTCACTAATATTTTCTCAAACTGATCGCATGCTCACCCATTCCTCCCAAATCAAAGTTCTTTGTCCCTTCCCTTGATATAAAAGATCCTTTTCTGCTAGAGCTGACAGATTATTTCTCTGAGTACCTGTTAATGTGTGGGAAACACCTATCAGACATCCAGTTGTTGACTCTTGTTGCGAGTCTTAGTGTTACAGCAACACCACTAGATATAAACAATCTGGAAAAGATGACAGCAACTTAGCATAACAAATGAAATCAGCTTAGAACAACAATCAGGCAGCTATGGTTTTGGGAAATCTGACATGGATTTTGTAAGTATCATTGATTTATGTGGACTCTGACCTTCAGGGTCTGAACAAATGAGCAAACCATATCAGGGACACTTTCCATGTTAAATTAGAGGCTTTGTGCTGCGGTGATAGGAGAACAATGAATCCTAAGAAATACTATGGTTGGGTGGATGGAACACAAGGCTGAAAACAGGCAAGCAAGCCTTAGTTGCCTAGTTAACCTCTTGAAGTCTTTACCTGCTAGTTGAACAGACTCCCTTCTCCTCCTGTTGGTGCTGGCTCCTGCTGAGTTGGCCCCCAAATCATGAGTTACAGAGGAGATGCCCCATAGGATTTCCTTAGCTGGAATCTTTACCTGAGCCTGTGCCACTAAGATTCTTCAACTAACTCTCACAGATTTTGTTCAAAGTTCACTCGTGATGTGCCAGAGACCGCAGCCCTCCCCAAGTCAAAGAAATAGCTGTTGACTCACCAAAGTGATCACATTGCCAACAAGAGACTCAAAAGCATGGTTCTGTGGTGTAAAATTCACAGTGCATTATACCTGTAAACTAACCAGCCCTGGGACCACTTTCAGTGGAACCTCTGGGTGTATTAAATAAAGTGATCTGCAGCAGAAAGCATTAAAGGATTACTTCATCTGCCACAACATTATGAACAGTAAAAGTTAACTTTCTTGTCGAGTTGTTTTATGGGAACTGCTGTGTGTTAGTTAGCTCGTACTATGTAAGATTTATCCTGGCACCACAGACAGATTGTAAGAGTCTCAGAGAAAGAATTAAAGTTGGTACATGCATGTGATCCCAGTACCTTGCAGAAACCAACAACAACAACTGAACCCATTGCTGTAGAGTTGAGTCAGACTTTTAGCTACCCAACAGAACTGCTTCATAGTGTTTCCAAGGCTACTAACTAATCTTTATGAAAGCAGACTATCCTATCTTTCTTCAGCTGAGCAGCTGGTGGGTTTAAACTGCTACCCATTCAGTTAGCAGTCAGGAACGAACTCATTACTATGACATCAAGACTTCTGTACCTTGTACCAAAAACCCAAATCAAATGACTGCCCTCAAGTCAATTCCCATTTAAAGCGACACCAAACCGAAGAGGTTTCCTGAGACTGTAAATCTTTACCGGGTAGACAGCCTCATTTTTCTCCTACTTAATGGCTGATCTTGTGGTTAGCAGCCCAAGGTAACCCATAGCATGATCAAAGCACAGTAGTTTGCACCTCACCTTTAAATGGTAGGCAACTAATAATATCTATGGACATGTGTCTCTTCCATTCAGTGAAACCACTGGAGCAGAGCCCAAGAATTCAATAGTTAAAACAACTTGACCCTCAACCTCCAGTACACTTCACGCCGCGATTCTCTCGTTTACACACACTGCAGACGTCCTCGCCATGTTGTTGTTGTTAAGTGCCGTCGATTCGATTGCGACCCATAGCAACCCTTTATAGGGTTTCCGAGGAGCAGCTGGTGAGCTTGAACCGCAGACCTTGCAATTCTAACGGCTTTGCAGACTGACGCATTAACCCACAACGCCACACACCAGGACTCCTCGCCATAGCCAGGCTTATTTCTAACAAGCTCCCAGGAGAAACGTGGAGCACATTTTCAGAAAGACTGTTCCTCTTCTCTGGTGCCTCAACAATCATTATGGCTTTGTTGTCCCTCAATACAAACATATCAACTGGCCACACTCCTCCCCCCATCCTTCTGCCTACTGAGTCCATGACCGTGGTACAGTCTGTCCCGACAGGAGAAGGTCAAAAGAAAGCCAAGTGCCAAGTATTTCCTTGTTGTTGACTTTGTATTTTCAAAACAAAACTCAAAACGAAATCCAGCCATTCATCTTCGCTATGCCTGGCTGTTGACCGCCACAATTCAATCCACTTCATAAACTTTCAACCTCTTCCCGTCCCTTCCTGTCCTCCCCTCCAACTTCTATCGCGCCAGTCTCCCAGGGAGCCGACGACAGTCCCCGGGTCTGAAGGCACACACTCTAGTCGCAGAATCGGGTACCCGTCGTCGGCTCCTCTTGCCCACAAAACACATAACGCACCAAAGAGTGTACGCTCGCTGTCTCGCTGCTCCCTACGCGCGACTTCGAACCCAGCCACGGTGCACACCGCGGGCCCTGAGGGGACCCCCGAGTCTTACCTGAAACACGTGGTGAGCTCACCGGAAGACTTCAGACACGGGTATTTGGTCGTCGCTATTTTGTTTTCAGAGCAAATTTCTCTACGAAAAAGTTGGAGAGGGCACTGGGTTTATTCTAAGCCGGCTAGCTGCGGGTGGCCTGCGCGTGCCGTGGGAGCGGGGCCGATTGGGGACAGAGGCCAGCCTGGAGAGGGTCACAGAGTCCACCCAGCTCTGGAGGAAGGAGGATCTGCAGGAGCGGGGCTCGCTCGTTGTGCCCACCCGCGGAGCGCGAAGCGCAGAGGGAGCAGGGAGGCGCCTGAGGGGCTCGCGGCTCCCGGGCCCACTAATGGGGGGGCCCAGGCTGAGGACGAGGAAGCTGTCACACGGTAGCCGAGTGCAATACAGGCCAGGGCAGATGCGGACCCTGCCGGTGTCCAGGGAGCGCGGGGCGTAGTTGGAAAGGGAACCGCCCGCGTCCCGCGAGCCGGGCGCGCACCAACCGGGACTCGGGAAGCGCGCGGCGCGGGCTCATCAGCCGGGTCTGGAAGCGCATACCTGTCGCCGTCCTCTGATTCCTCTCGGTAGCTCCAGGTATGTCCCAGAGCCAGGAGCAGCAGCAGTGGCCCCAGGCTCCTGCCCAGCTGCGCCCTGGCCGCTCCTCTCCTGCTCGGCGGAGGCGGCGGCACCATCGGGGACTCTAGCTGCAGCTCCGCGCGCCGAGCTCCCTCTCGGCTCTTTGCCCGGCTCTCTGCGCCGCTTTCCCGCTCCGGCAGGGGGCGCCCGCCTGCAGGGGCGTTTGCGCCACCTGTGCGGGGCTCTGGGGTCTAGCTAGCAGTTGGGGTGCTGGGTGCAAACACCGTGGAGGGGCAGGTACCAGGGAGTCTGAGATCTTGGACCAGCACGGAGGGGCCAAGGATCCAGGTCGCTTGGATCGGGATGTTCCCGAAGGAATGACAGACTTTCTGGACTCGGCTCTGGGTTGCGTCCTCCCCTCCCGATTCTGTCTCCGCTGGGAAAGCTGGCGGCGGTTTGCATCTCGCCCAGGGTCGCAATTCCTGGAGGAGGAGGAGCCGATTCTCACTCGGGGCGGGGGCGGGGATGGGAGGAGGAGAAGAGGGGTTAATGAGCTTCCTTCCTGTTGTCAGTTTATTTCTAATCGCCAGGATCAGTCGACGTTTGCCTCCCTCTCCACTCGACTCACCAACTGTGCTTTCCCGCTGCCTCAGGTTTGTGGTTTGGGTGGGGTTCTTTGCCCCCCCCCCTTTTTTTTCTCCTAATAGAATAAAGGAGGATGGCGGAGTTGACCAGCGTCAGCGAATCGCCCAAACTGCCTTTTCAAACCTGAAATAACAGGATTCCAGTGTCGTCTGTCTTCATTATAAAATGCCTTAGATGAAAACTCTCCGCTCCTTTTATTTGCTAATAAACTCTGCCTCTGATTTCTTCATAACTTGACTCCGGGGGTGGGAGGTGCTCTCACTGGATCTTTCTTGGGGTTTTAAATCCTCATTCCTGCTTTAAGGCTGTTCCCGTGCGGTGGACAGCACGGCGCAGAGCTGGAAAGTGTTAGCCTTCAGGTGAGGCGTTTCATCCCGGGTTCCGCTACCTGTTCGTTTCCGAAGCCGGACTTCGGAGTCGCTTGGAAACCCTGGTAGAGTGAGCGTCACTCTGCTTCTTGCGGGTGAAGACCTTCGTTGTAATCCATCTCTGCCTACAGAGACATTAGCATTTTGATGCTGTAGGATAAGCGCTGCACTGCAAACCACAAGGTCGGCAGTTCAAACACATCAGCCGCTACGCAGCAATCCTAGACAGAAGTCACTATGGGTCTGAATCCGCTAGACAGCATTTAACAACGAGTTTTTTATGCCTGTTCACGGGGAACTCGTGACATTAACGTCGACGGTTAAGTGTCCTTCAGTTGGTTCCGATTCATAGTAACCCTTTATAGGGTTTCCAAGGAGCGACTGGTGGGTTTGAACTGCCACCTTGCTGTTCAAATCGACCTTGTGAGCCAGTGTTTGATCCTACAGCGCCACACCAGGACTCCAAGCAAGTGATGTTAAGTGCCCTAGAGCCGGTCTGACTCAAAACGACTCTGTATAGGGTTTCCAAGGAGCAGCTGATGGGTTTGAACCGCCTACATCGTGGTTAGTAATTCAGTGTTTATTCTACAGAGCCACACCAGAACTCCAAACAAGTAATGGTAGCACAGAAATAAAGTTGAACAAGCAAAAGTTTTCATGTAATTCAGTAAAGTGAAAGATAATGTGTGCACAAGTTTGGTCAGATGAGCAGGTGTTTGGATTTATAAATTGTTCTGGGCAACAGATTATTCTCATACATAATATATCCATGTTGATGTTCTTATTAGCAATAACATCATCCTTCCTAAGAGTGCTTTCGGTTTTTCACCTTCATAATTATTTGATTCTCACAATATTCCTATGACAGAGACATGGCAAGAGTGATCCTGTTTGGGAAATAGAGTCATGACCTGACATAGGGCATCCATTGCTTAGTTCTGTAAAGTGGTTTTGTTCTACAAAATGTACATGGACCTAAAAAATTAAAACAGACTAGGTATTAGAACATGGCACTGCACAACATGAGTGAATTTTCACTTGATAATTCAGAAGAAATGGCAGAGTCTTTAACGGAACCTACATGTGATCCCCATGGGGTTGTAAGAGACCTGTATCCAAAGCCAGGCTATGTGACCTTAGAAAAGTTATTTACCCTTTCTGAAATTCAGTGTTCTATCTATAAACTGAGGAGAATTTCCTCATACATTTTTATGTACACAGATGCATGTATAAGGGCATCTGCACAGTGTAGGCATATAAAGGGGGCTTCGGAAAATTCCATTATCTTTTGATTCCATTTTCCCAAGAACATCTTGAAGCCCCCTCATGTTGTTGTTAAGTACCATCGAGTCGGTTCCGACCCATAGCGACCCTGTACAGGGTTTCCGAGGGTGTAAATCTTTACGGGAGTAGAAAGCCTCATCTTTCTCCCGCAGAGCGGCTGGTAGTTTCGAACCGCTGACCTTAAGGTTCGCAGCCCAATTCGTAACCACTACGCTACCAGAGCTCCTTGAAGCCCCCTCATAGTGAGTTCTTATTTGTTGTTGAGTGCTTTCGAGTTGGTTCCAACTCATAAAGACCCCGTGTAGGGTTTTCCAGGAGCAGCTGGTAGGGTTGAATTGCGGAACTTGTGGTTTGCAGTCCATTACTGATCCTACAGCGCCATGCCGAGAGTCCCAAGTGCTCATTAGACAAGAAACATTAGTTTAAGCATAAATTATATTGCATAGAATTTCACCTTCTAATTTTGTCGTTTTCTTGCTTTTGCATTTTAGATAGATAGGACTTTATTTGACAAGCAGTTGTAGGGTTTTTGAAGTGACACCTCAGGAAGATAGTGAAAACTAAACTCATCCCGGAATTTATAAAGCTGGGTCACTTTAGTGAGAGTCCTGGTGTGGCGTTTCACTGGGCTGCAAAGTCACCAGCTGCTCCTCAGAAACGCTATGCAGGGTTGCTATGGGTCAGAACCGACTCGAAGGCACTTAACAACAACAAATAAGAACTCACTATGAGGGGGCTTCAAGATGTTCTTGGGAAAATGGAATCAAAAGACAATGGAATTTTCCGAACAACAACATCTCTTTAGTGATACCTGTGAAGCAAGCGTTCAATCTTCACGTTGACAGGAAGAGGCCGGCCTGCCAATGGTTCCCTTCTGATTTTCTTACCCGTTACTCTAGTCTTGGGATCTTTTTTCCTCATCTTTACTCATTACGTTTCTGTACTGTTGTGTTATGGATGTTAGTTCTACAAATAAGAATAATAAGGAATGGTATAGAAAATCATTATGGATGTCAAACTGGTTCCAATTCATAGTCACCCTGTAGGACGCACAAGCCCTAAGGAGTTTCTTTATGGAAGCTGACCGCCAGCGGCATCTTTCTCCCACGGAATGGCTGTGAGTTAAAACTGCCAACCCTCTGGTAAGCAGTCTTTCTTAACTACTGCACCCCCAGAGCTCCTCTGTCTGAAATTCTTTATCATTGGTTACTAGGCCACATGTGTGGTCAGGGAAAGTAATTCAAGCTGCAAAATGATAAAAGCGTATGCACTGTATGGAGCTGTGTGACAGTAAAGCTAACTTGGTCCCCTGCTTATTTTCATCTCATAGGCACCGCTGACTACATATGAGAACCAGGCATGAGAGAGGGAGCTGGGCCACACAAATAGTCCAGGCTCGCCTGGGGAGGGAATCCTGAAGGTAGGTGGTCAAAGCATTCCTGGAGGAGGTGAGCTGTAGCAGAGAGCTTGTGAAACCTTTGTCTGGAAGCCTGGAATTTAAACGCCTTGGCAGCTTCTGACAGCGGGACATTTAGTGTGGGCTTTGGGGTCTGGGCCAGAGAGCCAGGCAGGGGAAGCACATGTATCTGGCCATGTATGGAGACCAAACCCTGAAGAAGCAAACACTCCTGCAATAGAGTAAGCCTGTGTTTGCTCAGGCTGCTTACTGTGTGGGAGATATCTGTGTTCTTGCACCTCAAGGGTCTTAGGTTTTCTCTCCTGGTCCCTTTCTTCCCTGCTCCATCCCCTCATCAGTGAGACCCTGGGAATAATCACTCTTCCTTATTCATAGGCCTATTACAGAGATGAATGACTGGCCTCTGCCTGCCCCTTGGGAAGAGGCGTTGTAGGACTCTTTCTTCCAAGCAAATGGCTCCCTGCAAAGGTTTCCATATCGACCTGTCAATTGCCTTGAGACAAACCAGGCTCAGCACAGTTCACCATCCCAGGAAAAAGCTGTGCTGGGCTTTCTAGTGCAGATCAGGTATTGTGAAATGCTACTGGGGAGCTGGGGGGAGGAGCCAAGAGAAGGGGCAGGATTTACTAGCTGGAGAGAGTCTGACACTTTAGTTTATAGTACACTGTTGTTGTTAAGTGCCCTGAAGTTTCTGAGGAGTGATGCGTAGATTTGAACCACAGACCTTTCTGTTATACTACATTGCCACACCAACACCTGCCACAAAAGTGTTCAGTCACTGTGTTGGAGGGAAGAGGCCATTCTGAAAAAGGTTTCATTTTTACCCTGAAAAGAAAAATAAAAAACTAGGCCAATGGGTGGAGAATGCTGTTGTGTGCCATCCAACTAGTCCCTGCTGACTCATAGAGGCACCAAGTGACAGAGCAGAGCTTCCCCATAGGGTTTCTTAGGCTGTCATCTTTGTGGGATCAGATTACAAGGACTCTTTTCCACAGAGCAGCTGGTGAATTTGAACCACCAACTTTGGCTTAGCAACCGAGTGCTTAACCATTGTGCCACTGTTGTTGTTGCTGTTAGGTGCCATAGAATCGATACCGACTCATAGCCACCCTGTGCACAATAGAGTGAAACTCTGCCCGGTCCTGGGCCAACCTCACGACTGTTGCTACACCTGAGCGCATTACTGCTGCCACTGTACCAATCCATCTCGTGGGGAGTCTTCCTCTTTCTCTCTGACCAGCATCTATCTTAATAAACATGATATCGTTCTCCAGAGATTGTCCTTCCTGACAACATATCCAAAGTATGAAAGATGAAGTCTGGTCATCTGGCTTGTTGTTGTTGTTGTTGTTGTTAAGTGCCTTCAAGTCGGTTCCAACCCATAGCGACCCTGTACAGTGTT